AACAGAAAGTAGAAGATATTGGGGTTTTTTTTTTCAAAATTTTCAGACATTTTGTTTATATAATAAAAAAAAAAATAGTGGTGATAAAATACCACCAAAATAAATCTATATTTGTGTGAAAAAAATGATCAAAATTTAATTTTCATACAGTGTTGCATGACCACAGAATTGCCAGTTAAAGTAGCGCAGCGACAAATACCAAAAAAATGGCCTGAAGGAGATAAAACCTTTCAGAGCTCAAGTGGTTAAAGGTAATAAGGTGGTTAAAAAAGGAACAATTTTTATTTAGTTTTTATGTCTTTACTTCTCATGATGCCTTAACTGACATCATATTCAGATGAATGAATTACAGTAAATATAAAATTAACAATGACACCTTATATTCTATTTCAAGTCTAAACATTGTGTCACATGGTCTATAACTGCACAACAACTTTTAGCTGTCTTTTTGCCAGCCAGGACTGGCAAGTGGGATGGGTGAAATGGCAAAGAGACAGGACTATATACGCCTTGTGTACTTTGATTACATTTTTTTTCGGATGTGTGTAGCATGCCCAATGTCCACAACTGGTTAAAGTGTACAGAATGGCTAACAACAACTTTTTTTTTTATTTAGTTTTGAAAAAGTGAGGAAGGGTTAGAACCCGTACCTTGTTATTTGTTTTATCTCTGTCATCTCTGCTATTAAAAAGATTTACTGGCACCTTGGCGCACATCTTTTGGTTTTGTCCACGGATTATTGGGCTATGGTTAAGATGGTCTTGGAGCAAGTGCTCAATGTTAATCTTCCCCTAGACCCAATACACTACCTTTTGGGGTTACCCTTTAGGGGTATTTATAAGTGGTCTAAGAGGTTGGGAATACATATTCTGATGGCTGCTAGACAGGTGATACCAAGACATTGGAAATCAGTTGATATCCCCACACTAAACCATCTCTTAAGAGCGATCTCTGAAATCAGTGAAATGGAATATCTTACAGCTCTAGTGGGTGATTATTCAGGTCATTTTCGATCTATTTGGGAACCATGGGATTATTCTCCCTTTAGTAGACTTCCCCCCCCCCCCTTATATAGCTCAGACACCTTTCTACTTGCTAAGGCTCTGACAAATAATGTAATCCAACAAGGTGCAGGGTTATGTCGTTTTGTGCTTTTGCATTGTACAGTTTACCATGCTGTCTAATTATTTTACGTTCACATTCCTTTTGTTTATGTTCTTCTTTATATTGATTGTGATTTTCTTTTAATGCAACGTTTACGCCTAAAGTGTTGTAACTTTGTCTTGAAAAATGGGCTTTGGCCCTTAATAAAACATTTACAATAATTAAAAAAGAGATTTACTCTTATCTTCTGTCCTGCTGACATTATTTTACTGGACAGCAAGTGGGAGGAATTCTCCAGCAGCAAGACAGACAAAAATTTAAAAAGATTAGGGAAACATTAGAATCCCTGTATTTTTTTTTTAGTTCTGTCTGTGTTCATATTGTAGAATTGTCCTCATACCACACTAATATCATATAACCAAAAAAGGGGTCGCTCTGACCTAATTTTGGTTATAGGCAACTGTAACATATCACTTTTTGGATTTGATTTACTGTAGTAGAGGCCTTTCATTTAACAAATTGAATGTTTGCAAATAATGTAAATCTGTGTTCACTTTGAATACTCAAGCATGCTAGTAAAACTTACTTTTTCAAAAGTTTCCTTGCAGATTAATGACCATTCACAGTTCATACAGGTTTCATTCACTGTGCTAGGTTAACATCCTCAACCCCCTTAGTAAATAGACCCCCAAAGACTGATGTACTGTATTATATATTGTACAGTGTGCTGTTTAATGGATTGCTCTGTGTTAGCTGCTATTAGAAAAAAAAGTTGCAATGAAATGACAGATGGTAATTTCCTTCTGTAGGATTCTGTCAGATTACTAGGCAGGGTGTCAACTGAATTGAAAGTATCAAAAAAATTGCAACTACATTAAATTTCTCATTAGACATCACTGCTTGTAGCTTCCTCCTTTCCCTTTCATGTTTTCTTCATGCATATGTGCTTTTTAGTTGGCACCAGGCTTTCACATTAATTGCTTTGCTGTATATTGCAGCGGGAGTATCAAGACATACATGTAGTAGGCTTAGAGCAGTCCTGAAAATAACATGACTCTGGCATCACATTATAAGCTGTCATAGTGGTGGAATGTGAGGGCTTGTTTGGTGCCCATGCTTGTATCATGGCTTGTACCTTCAGGCAGGTTCCCAGCAGGGGGCTCCCAGGATACACCAAGAGATTTTACATCCATTGATAAATATTTAACAGCAACTTCATTATCTTCTCCCATTTGGGGATATATTTAAAACTTCATTGCATTTGCAGCATTGTACACTTGGCAGATCTTGAAAAATTAATTTTAGTTTATATGTGCTGGGAAGCAACTCATTCCATTTCAGAACATATTACAACAATCATCCCCATTCCCTTTTTAAACTGCAATTTTCTCTATCAGCTTTATCAGCTGCAAGCAATATATATATATATATATATATATATATATATATATATATAATTTATACTGTGTATATATATAGATAGATAGTAAATATATATATATATATCATATACACAAATACATTCTACACATTTATACGGAGATACGATTTAGAGAGCATTTTTATTAATGCAGCATACACAGCAATTATGTATGTATATGCTGTGGACCATGGTGACAATCAGTTATCAGTTAAAGCAAATCTAAACCCAATCACTAAAATCTCATATTATCTTAATGGCCTATCCACATTTGTCAATTTTGCAAAGCAAAACTGTTGAATTTTGCTGCTTGAAAATGCATATCAAGTAGAAATCCCATTCTTTCCTATGGGTTTGGTTCACATCTATGCCATGCAGTTTAGTGTGACAGACAAAGGGGAAACTCTATAGGTCCATTCACATCTACACATGAGCGTTACCATGCCCGCTGCATGCACATGGAACAGGGTAAATCCAACCTTTAACCTTTTCGCTACTAGAGGCATTTTTTTTCTTCATTTTTTGCATACATGTTAAAATGTACATTTTAGGCCAGATTGTGAGTTAAAACCTCCAAAACATATTTGTTTCTGATAGCAGAGGCGTTTGAGAATAAAACAATGGTAGTTACAATTTTGTATGCCTTATGGTATTAGCACAACTGTTTAGCAAACCCATATCTTCAGTAAAAAAAATACATTAAAATTAATTATAGTGCACCAAAATGGTAACCAATATTTTGGAAATATATAACGGATGAGGTTACTTCAACTAAACATGTAAAGCCTTAAAACTGCATATGTCTGTTAAAACAGTGACAAACTATCATACTCAAAATTGTTCATAGGCAACACTTTAAAAGCCTTTACAACTCATCAGTTTAGAGTTGACCATGAATGTTTTTCCTTGCATTATTGCTCCTAATCCAGGGTGCACAGTGATACCCAACATGTGTGATGCAATTGTGATTTTTGGTTTGTGGGGCAGTTTAAATTCTTCTTCTTTTTAAAATGTATTTTAGTCAACTTAAATTTTTTAAAAACATGTTTAGATGTCTAATGGCACCTTTGCACTCCATTGAAGCTAATCAACCATAGACCGTGTTTGGTCAGCTTCTTAGCTGGCTGAAACAGCAGGGTTGACATCTCTGAAACTGGAAGTGACAAGAAGCTCATTGCTTCTGGCTTCAGTCACTGCAGGGCTGACCAATGAACTGATGTTCTGAAGAAGTGTGAATGGATTGAAAGCTGCTATAGCAGCCAGAAGTCAGTTTACAGGCCAGTGGTGTCATTGCCGTAAACCTTGTGGCAGTGGCAGTGAAACGGGTTACTTGTGCTTTGTAATTTCAAAAGTCAGGTTCAATCTTTAAACCTATAGCTTCATGAAAATAACTTCAAATTCTGCCATGGAGGTCCTTGTTCAGGCACTTCCTGTTATAGGGCGACACCAATCTGTCTCTGTCTTTCAAATGCTGTCCTACTATGCCACTGTGTTACATGAATTTCCAGTAATGAATATAAGCAGCTGTGCAAATACTCATAGCCAAGACATTTTTCTTGTTGTCAACACAGGAAACATGGCCTGACCATTACATTCAGCTGTTGCTGAAGGAAGTGCATGTAGAAAGAACAGGGCTCCAAAGAGTCTGCAGGTAATCAGCAGCACTGAGATGCAATGAGGGTTAAACCTTTAAAAACAGAACATTCTAAAAAAGAAATATAATAGATGATTGTTTAGGAAATTAAATGTCATTCAGTTTACATCTATTTTAGCATAATAAATGTTTTGGTCGCATTTGTGCTAAAGGTGCCAGAACTGGTTCTAGCTATTTTCTGTGAAACTGTTAATACCTGAACATTTTAGACTTTATTGACAAGGACATGAAGTTCCATGATTCTCTCAACCACAGAGATGTACAACGGTCTCCTGACAGCTGTCAAAGTCAGAACATGATTGCAGGTGTAAGATCTCAGATTGCCATCTCTGTGGGTGTGCTTCATGTTATTGTGTTGTATTTAAAAACAATATTTAAATGATCCTGTTTTGTTGTTTTTCAATTGATGCATGTCAGTTGGGATGAGCCAAACATATATGGATTCGGTTCGAGTTGGATTCTGCGAACACTAATAAAGTTTTTGAACTGAATCAAACCCTATTGAAGTCAAAGGGGGCCAAAAGTTAACCGCTTGCCTACTGGGCACTTATACCCCCTTCCTGCCGAGGCCAATTTCCAGCTCTCAGCGCTGTCACACTTTGAATGACAATTGTGCGGTCATGCAACACGGTACCCATATGAAATTTGTATCATTTTTTTGTGACAGATATAGCTTTATTTTGGTGGTATTTAATCACCTCTGATTATTTTTTCTTAAACAAACCAAAAACCACTGAAAATTTTGAAAAAAAAAATGTTTTTTCTTAGCTTTTGTTATAAAATTTTGTAAATAAGTGATTTTTCTCCTTCACTGATGTGCGCTAATGAGGCTGTAGTGATGGGCACTGATAAGATGCACTGATGGACACTGATAGGTGGCACTGATGGGCACTGATGAGGAGGCACTGGTAGGTGGCACTGATGGGCATTGACAGGCATCACTGATGGGCACTGAAAGGCAGCACTGATATATGGCACTGATAGATGGCACTGATAGGTGGCACTGACTGGCACTGATAGGCAGCACTGACTGGCACTGACTGACTGGCACTGTTAGGTGGCACTGACTAGCACTGATAGGCAGCACTGACTGGCACTGATAGGCGGCACTGATGTGCACTGATAGGTGGCACTGATGCGCACTGATAGGTGGCACTGATTGGCAGCACTGATAGGTGGCACTGATTGGCATAGATAGGTGGCACTGACTGGCACTGATGGGTGGCACTGAAGGGCAGCTCAGATGGGCACTGATATGTGGCATTGATGTGCACTGGTAGGCACTGATATGTGGCATTGATGTGGCACTGATGGGCTCTGGCACGTGGCACTTTTCAGCACTGACAGCTGGCACTGATGGACACTGACAGGTGGCACTTGTGGGGTCACACTGATCATCAGGGCACACTGATCATCAGTGCCCTGATGATAAGTGTACATGTCCCCTCCGCGGAATGCCAATTACCGGCTCTCCTCAGCGTGACAGCTCGAGAGGAGAGAAATGCAGATAAAACCGGCATTTCCGTGTTTACATGTGATCAGCTGTGATTGGACACAGCTGATCACATGACCGAGCCGACATCTTCGGCTCTTTCCATGGATCGGTGATCCGCTGTGTCCGAGGGACACAGAGCACCAGCGATCGCCGTGCTGCGCGCTCCCTGAGTCGCGTATGCGCAGTGAGAATGGAAGGCCGTCAAAAGACGGCCTATCAGAATGAGAGAACCACCTTGCGCCCATCATTGGACTATATGGCGGGCGGGAGGTGGTTTAAAAAATACTAATGACCATTTTCAAGGTTAATAGGCAAGATATTGTTAAAGAAATTGCAAGGAAAGCTGGGCACTACCCTGTAGGATATGTACTAAAGCAAAAAAATATTTTTTTAAAAATCAGTTTGACATCAATTTTAATAAACTACAACAAAATTGTATACACCCTACTACAACAAAACTGGCACTTACAAAGAAATAAATCTGTTTAACATGACAGCCAACGGCAGCTCCTGGCTGCTTACTTCTGTTTGTGAACAAAGCGGCTGGGGATTCCCTTCATCTGTATCAGTCCCTTAACCTAGATGAAGGGTCTAGTATAGATGTTATTGGGAGATGCCCACACAAAGAAATAAAAAATTCTTGGGGTTCCTCTAAAAATATCTACTAGACCTTGATCCTTGATGAGGATCCAGTATGGATCTACAAAAAGCACAAAAATTAAAACTTTGGGCCTTGGAACTTTGGGGTCTGGACTGTCATGAAATTCTACCTGGGTCTGGTGTGAATTTTGAGAAGGGAACAAAAAATAAATCATTAAGTCGTCACCATAAAATCCATTCCATGCAGCCTTTCAGGCCAAGAAAGGGAAAGGATGAGAGTGCGCCCCCCCCCCCTCCTGATTATACCAGGCCACATGTCCTTAACAAGAGGAGGTACTTTGCCAGGGTGACTCCCCTGGCAAAGCATCCTGTCCCTGCATTGATGAGGACAAAGGCTTCTTCCCCACAACTCTGGTGGTCATGAGGGGTCTGAAGGTGAGGATCTCATTGGAATTTGAAAGTCTCATCAACAATAAGGAGGTCCCCAGATATCCCCCCCCCCCATGTGAATGAGTAAGGATATACACTATATTGGAAAGTATTTGGAAACCACTACAAATTGTTTAATGCAGGTGTTCCAATCACCTCCATGGTCACAGATGTATAAAATCAAGCATCTAGGCATGCAGACTGCTTCTACAAACATTTGTAAAAGAATGGGTCGCTCTCAGGAGCTCAGGGAGTTCAAATGTGGTACCGTGATAGGTTGTCACCTGTGCAATAAGTTCATTCGTGACATTTCCTTGCTACTAAATATTCCATGGTCAACTGTTAGTGGTATTATAACAAAGTGGAAGCAAGTGGGAACAAGAGCAACTCAGCCACGAAATGATAGGCCACATAAAATGACAGTGCTGGGTCATCGCATGCTGAAGCGCACAGTGCACAGAAGTCGCCAACTGTCTGCAGAGTACATAGCTAAAGACTTCCAATCTTCATGTGGCCTTCAGATTAGCACAACAACAGTGCATAGAGAGCTTAACTGAATGGGTTTCCATGGTTGAACAGCTGCATCCAAACTTTACATCATCAAGTGCAATGCAAAGCATTGGATGCAGTGGTGTAAAGTATGCCACCACTGGACTCTAGAGCAGTGTTCTCTGGAGTGACAAATCACGCTTCTCTGTTTGGCAATCCGATGGTCATGCATGTGTTTGGCAGTTGCCAGGAGAACGGTACTTGCCTGACTGCATTGTGCCAAGTGTAACATTTGGTGGAGAGGGGATTATGATGTGGGGTTGATTTTCAGGGGTTGGACTTAGCCCATTAGTTCCAGTGAAGGGAACCCTTAAGGCATAAGCATACCAAGACATTTTGGACATTTTTTTATACTCCCAGCTTTGTGGGAACAGTTTGGGGATGGCCCCTTCTTGTTCAAACATGACTGCGCACCAGTGCACAAAGCAAGGTCCATAAAGACATGGATGAGCAAGTTTGGGGTGGAGGAACTTGACTGGTCTGCACAGAGTCCTGACCTCAACCCAATAGAACACCTTTGGGATGAATAAGAGTGGAGACTACGAGCCAGGCATTCTTATCCGACATCAGTGCCTGACCTCACAAATGTGCTTCTGGAAGAATGGTCAAACATTCCCATAGACACACTGCTATACCTTGTGGACAGCCTTCCCAGAAGAGTTGAAGCTGTTATAGCTGCAAAGGGTGGGCCAGCTCAATATTGAACCATTCGGACTAAGACTGGGATGCCATTAAAATTTGTGTGCGTGTAAAGGCAGGCGTCCCAATACTTTTGGCAATATAGTGTATATTACCACTATTCATCCACGAAAGAGGAAACAATGAATAGACACACTGGCACCTTTTGACAAGTCCCTCAATTAAAAAAAGTCCCACATTGTAAATCCATCATCAATCACTTCATCCGGTGATGCAGATTCACCACACCAATGAACCATGTGATGTCAATCACACCACCCTTACCCCTTTGTTCATATTTAGTGGCAGGGCCCCCAGAGATGTCATTCAGCACAAGTAAACTGCGGGAGTAGATCATAAAGTAAAAATATCAACACGTTTAACAACATAGAGGTTTATGCCTAATTCATACCTTTGCATAAATATATACTCTCATGAGCTAAGTTCACCTTTTACATAAAGTGGCCCATGCAGACAAGGAGCTCCAGTAGTTTAAAAATATGCTGTGCCATTTGTAAAAATGTTGTTTGTTGCAAATTCCATATTTTCTGTCACCCATGAAGCCTGGCCAAAATGTTCCAATATTTACATTCCTACATCCATCTAGAGCATGGGATACAACAAAATGTTTCCAATAAAAGAGTGATAAAAAGACCCCACAGGTCTGTACAAACTTAAGGGACCTTTTCAAGTTCAGCAGATTTATCAGAATACTTGTGTACCCATAGTTTGATCTGCCTGTATTTATTTCCACTTATGCTTTTAGCCCTCTCTATACATGTTTAAGAAGATTTTCCCATTAATCTAACAAATAAACAGTAGCAGAATATTTTAGGTATCCTAATTCAATCCAAAAATGTGGGCATTATCTGTAAAGGGATAGTTCTCCTTTACAAAAAAAGATGCCTATGCAGATAAGGGATGTCTTTAGATAAAAAATACTGTGTGTCTCTGACTAAAGTTGAATAATGCCCTTGCTATAGGTGTAGACTATTTGCATATCTCCTGAAGCCTGACTGGAAAACTCTCTGTGAGTTGCTAGGTGAGGCCTAGTCATTGCTGTTCACTTCCACCATCACAGGAGTGAGCTCTCAAACATTGAGCTCAGAGCTACTGCTCAGGAGAGATAAAGAGCATGTGAAGGGCTTTGATTCAGAGAAAGAGCTCACTCCTGTGATGGTGGAGGTGAGCAATAATGACTAGGCTTCACTTAGCAATGTCTTAGTAACGTTGTGGGAGTATTCCAGTCAGGCTTCATGAGGAACATAAATGGCCTACACCTATAGCAAGAGTATCATTCAAATTTAGTCAGAGACAAACGGCTTGTTATTATCCACAGGCATCCAATATTTGCATATGCAGGTTTCTGGTAAAGGTGAACTAACACTTTAATTTATTGCTTTCAGGGTAAAAACAAACCTCAGGTAGAAATAAATAAAACCAATAAAAAATGTATATGTTAAAAATCACCAAATGTACAGTATGTTTGAATGCTATGCTTTTCAGTACCTGCATTTGTTATCATATTAGTTTTCTGTAGTAGCCTAACTTGAAAAGGAAAGGCCAGCAGTAAGAGCCAATCGGGATCAGCTGTAAAGAACATGTGCTGACCACAAACATTCTGACAGAAGGAGAGAGCAGAATGATGACTTCATCAGTGTGCTGCTGCACCTGCATTGTCTAAAATCAAGCTGGGGGTGTGTTTTTGCCCATGTTGTGCTGTTACTGCAATGGAGGTCAAACATCTGGCTGTGCTGTCTGGAAAAAAAATGTCAGGATCACAAGACTGGCTGAACAAAATTAGAGATCTTTTTACAGGTAAAACTATTCTTATATATGTATTTTAATTGTGTATTTTATCTGTCTGAAGCTAAATGAAAATATATCTAAAGCAAAAACATATTTTTTAAATTTTAGTTTTGGATACAATGTGAAAGTTATAGAGTCCTTGTTTTAATTGCTGTGTTTTAATTGCTGTGTCCCCAGTGGGGTGATTCACCTTCTCTATTTGTCCTAATAACAGTTGTCTCCAATACAGAAAGTGGGGGAAAAAATGTACATTTTATGGTTGTCACCAGAACTGAGGTGAAGGGAAATCCTCCACTGGAAACACCTGTTGTTGTAACAACAGTCTAAAAGTGGATTTCTGGTAGCTTAGGAGAGATTTTCTCTTACTTCCTGCTTTGTTTCCAGGATAGGAAGTGAAGAAAATCTTTCCTCGTTAAATTGATAGAAAATAAACCAGATGTGTAAGAACCCTACTCCACTTCTTCTTTGACTTTTTGACATGATTACTAATCCTGAACTTTTATGTCCCTGTTATATTGGAGGTGAACTGGCAAATTAGCCATATACAAATTTTAACCAGTGGAGCTCTGGAAGGTTTTACTTCCTTCATGACCAGAGCATTTGTTGCACTGTGCTACTGTAACATGCAATTATGCGATCATGCAACACTGTATGCAAATTACATTTTTACCCACAAAAATTGAAATCTCTTTTGGTGGTATTTGATCGCCACTTGTTTTTTTTTTGTTTTTTTGCGATATAAATGAAAAAAGACTGAAAATTTTGAAAAAAAAAAAACGCCAATGTTTTTTACTTTCTGTTATAAAGCTTATCGAATAAAAAAAATGTCTTCATATATTTAGGCCAAAATGTGTTCTGCTACATGTCTCTGGTAAAAAAAAATCCAAACACATGTATATTAATTGGTCTGTGCAAAAGTTATAGTGTCTACAAACTACAGTATATATATATATATATATATATACTGTATATATATTGGTAATCAGCAACTTATAGTGAGACTGTGATAGTGTGGTGGGCAACCTGACACTAGCTGATGCTGGCTGGGAGGTGCACTAACTGACTGACATCGTTAGTAACACTAATACAGTGATCAGTGCTTATACTGCACACTGTACCTGTGCTAATGACACTAGCTGTGAAAGGGTTAAAATCTAGGGGCAAGCAAATGGTTAACTGTGTGCCTAACAATGTGTGATGTGTGTGCTGCTTTTACTTTACTATTTGTTTGTTTTTTTCTCCCTGCTTTGCAGGAGAAGAAACAGCCTGATCACTGTTCACAGTACACAGAGTTCTGTGTATTGTAAACACAGAACACTGTGAATGATATGCCACAGCTGATCAGCTGACTTCAGCCAAAATCATGCTTACCCCAAACCAGGAAGACAGATCGCAATGTAAAGGTATGTCGCCTCTTCTAGAGTTACAGCACCCTCGAAATACAACTACTGTGGACGGGTAGCAAGTGGTTAAACAGACCCAATTTTGTTTATTTTTTACAAAGCTATGCAAAGATTAATTTTTATCTTTAAAATAAAAAATCAATGTAAATGACAATTTAAATAATAAGTTATAAGAAATTTTATTTCAAAATGACCTAAGAAAGATATAACTACTAGTGCTCCTTCTACTACTATTACCACTATGACTAAAAATAATGATAATATTAACATGTGTATATATTAACATTTTAATAAATAACAACATAAAGATATGCTAATGTTGCTTTTTTTTGTTCTAAATGACATTAAATAGAGTCATCATGCTTTATCTGAAGAACGCTATTAAAACGTTAAAAAAGTGAGTTAAGTATGCAATTGCCCATGACAGCCAATTAAGGAAATAATTAGTTCTCTTCTTCCAGGACATAACAGTATATCATATTTTCATTGCTTTTAATAGTAAAAAGTCTTAAACTGCCAGGAAAATTTAATTAGATATTGGCCTTTCACAAACAAGAAAGAGGAACCCGTTGGTGTGAAAACAAGTAGCTGGGCATACCTCTGTTACCTTCATAATCCTCCTTGCTGCTACCTGTGAAATTAGCCTTTTACATTCCTTGTTTATATAATATATACAATTTCCAGCTAACAGATTTACATACTGTACAAATTTCTGACGGTACCTGCTAAAATAATTATTTTTGTTTGCATGATTATCCGACAGGTGAACTCTTAAGTGTAAGTGTAGCCAGGCTATTGTCTTTCAAATATTTCAATTTTCTTAACAAGCAGTAAATAAGCTTTAAAGGAAATGTTCACCTTTGGGAACATGTTACATGTTCCACCCGTTTTTAGGGTGGAACATATATACCATGTTCCCAAAGATGCAGCTGCTACCCGATCCCCCCTCCCTGTGACAGACGTATGGGGAGACGTTTCCCGTACTAGCTGTCAGTTTTTGAAAACAGCGCGGCCTTGCGGGTCTCCACCCACATGGCCGCATCATTCATTGATACAGTGTTTTGTGAATGAATGAACTATAAGTCCCAACAGTGTTAGCGGCTGTCGGCTTGTAGTTCATTGAATCTGCCTGTCAGTATATCTGCTTGCC